AAGAGAGAGAGAGGCGAAGAGAGAGAGAGAGAGAGAGAGAGAGACTTATGGCTAACAGCCCAGAGTGTTATACCTCGTCTTAATTCCTAGCTGTCCCCTCCTGTTTCCATCCAGTTTTATTCAAACAAATAGTATCCTTATATACAAATATCTTGGCGGTAGACTTTGGTCCATTTAGACCCTAAACCTGGTTAGGCTGGAGTTTATTTTTCATTTTTAGGGAGCTGTTTCCTGTCTGAACTTACTTTTAATTACTCTGATTTGTTTCTTTACATCAGTAAAGCTTTTTCAAGGAAGGCAGCTGTTTGTAGCGTTTATAGAAAAGGGCTTTTTTACCTGGATTTTGTTCCACTTATAACGTGTCTCAGTGTCTTTCTCTCTCATATCTCACATGTTGTGAGAAGAAGAAGAATTGTTTGGTGTTGTGAAAGCAGAAGTGTGTTGACTTTAGCTATGCAGGTGTCAGTCACACATCAGGTGTTTCCACTTCCTATAAAACAAGAACAACGTTTCTGTGGTTTTGAAGCAGCTGTTAGTTTCACTTCAGGTCAGTTTTTCTACAAATGTCCTGTATTAAGAATATCTGTGAAACTCAGTGTTACTCACAGAAACACAATTTAGTATGTATCATTTTTGACAATATTTCTAACCCTGTTTTTTGCGATACTTGACCTTTACTTAAATTGGATTTAAATTACAAGATTGAGTACAAACTGAGGTCAGGCCTCCAGTGGATTTACGTTAGTCTGGATATTGGCTGTCTGAGTTAATGGATCACTGATGAAATCTGTGACTCATTGTATTGATTGTTGTTGTTTCCATCAATGGAAGGTCTTATTAAATCGACCTTCCTAAGCTCAAGGACGACTAATATTGTCTGCTGCTCATAATGACACAGAAGAAGAAGACTTCATGGCATAATCACACCAAGAAAAATCACATTTATGCTATGATTATTTTTATACAAGCTTGTAACTCACTGTTAAAACGTATTGACAATTAACATCGACATCTCCAACAAGTCAATTTACATATTTTGGATTTGTTTAGGTATTTTTATTCTTATTTACTACTATTTATTGTATATTTCTGCATGAGATATTTATCAATGTTCTTGTTATACTATAATGATGTCTGTTAAAGGTAGGGTAGGTAAGAATGGAGAAACCAGCTCGAGTGCCCTAGAATTTGAAAGTACGCAGCCGAAAAAAATCTGCCCCTTCCTTCAGACTTCCTTACAGAGCCCCTCCTCCAACACACACGAACGCGCACATGACCAATGAGGGCACGAGATAAGTTTGTGCACAGATGGAAGGCTGACAGGCAGGTAGGCCATCCAGTTATTTTAGCCGGGCCGGCTCAGATGATTGGTCGTGCTTTTTACAGCGCTACGGCTTCCACAGATGATATGTTTTTATGTATTTATTGTCAAAGCATTTCATGTATTCATTGCTATCGGGATGTTAAGAGCATTCCATGGAATATAACAAAAAGTGTTTCTGAAGTGAATTACCTACCCCACCTTTAATTTACATTATTGTGATTTGCATATATTCTATTTATTTTATTATTGCACGTTTTTGTTGTCGTCTGTGGACATTTGTTTAGGTCTTTTGCTGGAAAAACTAAATGGCAATCCACATTTGGCAACCGACTGACTTAGTTCAGGTTAGAGCACATTAAATAAACAGTAATAAAGAGGACTTGTGTTCAACGTTTCCCATGTTTGTCTTTCGAGAGGGTTTCAGGGTTAAAGTGAGCAGAGAGTGTGTTTGCAGCTGAGGTGTGAACACCTGTCATCGTCCGCCTCCACACTGTTGGCTCAGCCGACATCGCAAGTGCTCCGAGGAGGAGGACGAGTCGGGAACAAAGCCGCTTATGTAAGGTTTCATCGTTAAAAACAACAGACGACTCCAACACCGAGGGGCAAGGGAATCCAAGGTTACAAGACTCGCACACGCTCAGAAATCCATTGTGTTTTTCGTCACTTTGGGCTGATTTTAGCAGCATTTTGGTGTTTTTACTTTTGATCTTTCTATGACTGAGTCCTCAATAACAGACACAAGAGTGGCTGCTGATTTCTAAAAGGACGCTCTTGAGGTTTTCCAGAGTGTATATAAGCACCATCATTGAATGGTGTGTAATCTCCTTCCTCAGAGAGCTTGATTGCGTTCAGTCAGAAGGCCGAGAGGACTAGTCTTTATTTGAAATGATCGTTCGTGCTTTAAGGTAGTAGAAAGTCCTCTTTACAAATAGATGTTATTTTGTTTGCAGTGTTTGGGTTGTACGTGAAGAACAAAAACGCTGTACAGTCGTTCAATCAGACTGAGAAATGAAAGGGAAGAATGGGACAAAGATAACGCTATGGCAACAGTTCAACAAGAATTATCGCAGATTAAAAAAATGACATAATGGTCCTTTTCAGATTCCATAATTGTATGTTGTGCTTCTACTGTGACATATTGATTGTTGTGTTTTTATTTAAGTCTAAAAGTGTACACATGTAAAAATGTGTCTTTGATTCTTTGTATATATATATATATATATAAATATTGCACACATATTTTTATATAGATATTTGTTTTATATTCGGGATTGTGGGAAACGGTATTTCGATCTCTCTGTCTGTACACACAAACTGAAAGATTGACAATAAAGTAGACTTTTGACTTTGATGTTCACACGCTTAAATGTTCAAAAAGAGCTTTCAGATTTTTAAATGAGAGCGCAGTCTACTCTTATTGCTATTGGAACACTAGCCGATAGAAGCTCATTGTTACATTGTGATGTCACTATGTTCCTGAAGTAAACAAAGGAGTCCTATGGAGGGCAGGGGGGGGAGCGAGTGGGAGAGATGCCTCTGGAGGGAACTTTGGGATTTTAGCTTTTGCAGACCATTTACATGCACCAAAACCTGCACTACAGGAGAGGGAAAACCCCAAAAAGCACAATAAGGTCCTTTTTAATCGAAAGAAGTCCCTGCTCCAGGGTCAAGAGCACACGTATACCTCTTACAAGCTGGAATGAACATGCAACAAAATGTATCTTTAAACATCACAATAGAAAATAAAAGGTTAGTCAGTTCAAACCTCTTCAATGGAACCGCTAAGTGGAGTGCAAAGGGGCCAAAGAAAAATGTCACTATGAATATTTGAATGGGTCTTTAATACTTGAATGGACTGTAAAATCTAGCAGTATTCTCTCCTGTCATGTATGGAAAAGTAATGGAGGTTTGGGTCATTTAGTCATTCTTCTTTTGGGTCCATACAATGCAAATGTTAATAAAACCACATTTGGGGTCTGAATTGAGCAGTTTTTTTTCTTCTGTTAAACCAATTGTTAAACATTACTTTAACAGCTGATTCATACTTTTTAAAATGTAGTATGTATTTACATGTAGTAAATCTGTGCGTTAAGGGTGATGAGGAGCCGACTCACCCTCTTCCTCAGGTTGTAGGTGAGCAGCAGGTTTCGAGAGAAGTGGTTTGCGAAGGCGGCGTAAAACTCGAGGACTTTCTGCAGCGCGTCTCTCTTGATGATGTGCAGGTCGCAGTAGGTCAGCGCCCGCACGTTAGCGCACGACTGCGCCAGCGTCATCTCCTTCCAGAACACGTCACCAAACACGTCGCCTTTACCTGCAGAAACACACACAGACAATAATTGACAGCATACACGAACATTTCTTAACTTTCTTTGATGTAAATTCAATTGAATGCTCATTATTATCAGAGAAGAAGAAAACATTCCATATTGCATATGTACAGTAGGCCTATCATAGTATAGAAGACACATCGGAAACTATGTATTATATCATGTATCTATTTATTTTTACTAAACGATATAGTATGTATTAACAAGAAATTAAAGGTATGTTACTATATTATATGAACTCTCACTCCTGCATCCTGCCTGCTCCACACCTACTTAGAGAGGAGAGGGGGAAACCCCGTGCTAATAACCTCCATAAGAGTGTCTGAAAAGCTGCTTAATCTTGCAAGAAAGAAGCCAAGTTATCAACACTGTGTAACAATAGTCTGAAAAAAGTCTGAAGAAAGTAGCCAGTGTGGTGAAATAATCAAGTTGCTTGCTTTCCTGCATATATCCAGAAATTAGCTTCAGTAAGAATGAATGGTTTGTGTCTAGGAACCTCTTATATTTTAGTAACAGGTGATAAAAGTGACTTTTTGAAGTTCAATTTTATGTTAGATAATAACATATCAGATGAAGTTGTGTTTTTTTAATCTGATCCAAATGAACATTAAGAGTTGAGACAGATTTCTTTGGTAATCCGACTTGGCTTGGAAACCAGAGGGTCGTCGTTTCCAGGTACTTTGAGAGACACCTAGCGAACTAAAAGGGGACAAAACATAACAACACATCCACGAGGCTAGTGATTACAGACAAGTGAGCATTTTTTAAACGAGGGTAAAGGTCTAAATAGTATAAAATAACAAAACCAGGGGTGGCAACATAAACAAAAAAACTCCATCTCCACTGAGCTTTAATAATCTTCATCATAAAAAAGCTAGGTACTAGTCTCTCACACTGATATTCGGCAGCTGTATTATATTAGCCCACTGCCTCTAATACTAGGATGGGTTGGATGCAAAGTTTACATTTGTCACAGTGTGTATGTAGCGACAATTGAACATAGATTCACTTCAAATCCTTCATTTCCATTCTCTGAGCAACAGCTCCGTCTGTTTATTTTATTTTCCATCCACACAATCATCCGTCCCCTCCAGCATATAAAGAGGTAAATGACGACACATCAGAGGTCAAAATGATGAACGCTGCCATGAATGAAGCCGCCGAGTGCTTCATTCATCAGAGGGAAGAGGAGCTTTGATGCAGCTGCTTTAAGAAAACATGTGGAAAGAGGAACTTAAGTAGATGTGAAACCAGAGGCTCTGACGGAGATCTGCAGAGGAAGTCCAAATATTTATCCAGAGAGGAACTGAAGCGGATTCAGTCTGCTGATAACATTTATATTCTGGTGATTATCTGGAAGTCCAAGCAGATATTTAAAAGGACAGAAACAAGTCGCTGAGAGGCCGTCAGCTCGCCTCATTTCCTCTCAGCAGCTGGACCGTTGAGCTGCAGCCAGAGAGAGTTATCAAAATATATAGAAGATAGAATTGGGAGGGATGAAACCCTCTTTAATGGTCACACATGCAGACACAGGGTGTTTCTCAATGTCGAGGACGCTTGCTTGGTAGCACATGTCTTCCGAGTCACTTCCTTCAGAAGCTAGGCAAGAATCCTTCCTGGCATTCGGAAAACGAAGAGTGGAACAAGTGTGCGTCATATGAGAGGCCCCGCATTACATTTTCCACCACAGATTTTGGGAAATTGGTCCGTGCGCAAAGCATTGTGGGGATTTTAAGACCGCGGAGTACATGTACATGTACAGCCTCGAAATTTCTCGCTAGGAAGTACGCCGGGCTGGACATCGGAACAGTCCTTCGGCAGCACTCGATGACGTAGTATGCTTGAAATAGTGGCTCTGAAGCAGCCTTCCTCGACATTGAGAAACACCCACAGTGAAATGTGTTCTCTGCATTTCACCCATCCTAGTACCAGGAGTCTAGTACTAGGAGCAGTGGGCAGCTATTGTACAGCGTCCGGTGCCTTGCTCAAGGGCACCACGGCAGGGCAGGAGGTGAACTGAGACCTCTCCAAGTAGCAGTCCACACTCCATATTTTAGGTCTGGTCGGGGACTTGAACCGGCTACCCTACGGCTCCCAGTCCAAGCCCCTACTGACTGAGCCACTAGTTCTGACTGCTACAATATCTTCATTACGGCTATAGTTTCTACAGACTGCTGCTACTGACATCTAATAATAATAATAATAATTTCAATTTATATAGTGCCTTTCACGAAACCCAAGGACGCTTTACAATGGGAAGTAACAAAACAAAAAGTAATAATAATCATACAGATACACAGGCTGAAGAAAACAAAAACAGGAACAGGTTGCTGAGTACTGTATATTAGTTGAGGCCAAAGGCCTGAGTGAACAGATGGTGTTTGAGGTGTTTTTTGAAGGTGTCCAGAGTGTCTGCATTCCTGATTGCACAGGGGAGAGAATTCCAGAGGGTGGGGGCTGCGACACTAAAGGCTCTGTTGCCAAATGTTTTCAGCTTGGAGCGCTGGATGGAGAGCAGCCCTTTGTCAGAGGACCGCAGGAGGTCAGAGATGTATGGAGGGGCTAGGGAGTGGAGAGATTTGTAAGTTAGCAGGAGGAGTTTGTACTGGATGCGTGACTTGACCGGGAGCCAGTGAAGGTGGATGAGGGTAGGGGTGATGTGTTGCCAGGGCTTAGTGTGGGTGAGGAGCCTGGCTGCAGAGTTCTGGACGTACTGGAGCCTGTCCAGGGCTTTGCTGGTGACACAGAACAGAACTCCATTGCAGTAGTCCAGACGAGAAGAGATGAAGGTATGAATTAATGTTTCTGCAACGGGGTCGGGGAGAGAGGGCCGGAGTCTGGAGATGTTTCGTAGGTGAAAGAAAGCAGTTTTGACAGTAGACCTGATGTGGGAGTTGAAGGTGAGGCTGGAGTCCAGAGTGACGCCCAGGCTGCGAACCTCAGGGGAAGGGTGGATGGAGCCGCCATCGATGGTGAGGAGCAGATCTCCAACCTTCCGGAGCAGTGTTTTTGGGGCCACAACCATGAGCTCTGTTTTGTTATTGTTGAGTTTAAGTAGATTTTTTGACATCCAGGCTTGGATGTCGCGGAGGCAGTTGACAAGTGACAGTGGGGGTAGCTGGGATGATGGATTGGTACTGATGTAGAGTTGGGTGTCGTCGGCATAGGAGTGGAAGTTGAGACCATGTCGGCGGATGATTTCACCGAGGGGGAGCATGTAGATGTTGAATAGAAGGGGGCCGAGCACTGAACCTTGCGGCACACCTTGGTTGACAGGGGCTGGGGGAGAGCTGGATTTTCCGATGGTCACAAACTGTTGCCTGTTGGAGAGGTAGGAATGGAACCAGGAGAGGGCTGTACCAGAGAGGCCAAGGTAGACGGATAGGCGGTTGAGTAGGATAGTGTGGGAGACTGTGTCGAATGCGGCGGAGATGTCCAGGAGGATAAGGATGCTGACGAGGCCTGAATCGGCGGCTATGAGGAGGTCATTGGTTATTTTAATAAGGGCCGTCTCTGTGCTGTGGTTGGATCTGAAGCCTGATTGGAAGGGTTCGTAGAGCTCATAGTCGCACATATGATGGTGGAGTTGGGCAGCAACTGCTCTTTCCATGATCTTGCTAAGAAAAGGAAGGTTGGAGATCGGCCGGAAGTTGCTGGGGTCCTCGGGGTCGAGACCAGGTTTTTTGACGATGGGGGTGACAGCTGCTATCTTGAGGACGGCGGGAACCTTGCCTGATTCCAGGGAGGAGTTGATAATTTTAACAATGGTGGAGCAGAGGATGGGTAGGCAAGTTTTGACCAGGGCAGAGGGCATCTAAATCCAATAGTGTTAAATATGTCCTTTTTCTTGTCCCTTTGTATCTGTTTTTTTAAGAGGACATATTCAGGTTCATATCAGTATTTATTGTCTCTACTGTGACATGTCTCCATGCTTTAATGTTCAAAAAGCTCTTTATTTTCCTCATACTGCCTGTGCTGCAGCACCTCTTTTCACCCTCTGTCTGAAACCAATAGATAATGATAATGCTAGATGTTCACATTAATCCCATACTCTTTGTTGAACGTCAGCTAGTTAATATATACGTATATATTATAGGGTCAATATATCTCTATAGTGAGTTCAATATTTATACTACTTTTCAAAGTGTTTATATCCATACATACAGTTCATACTGTTTATAGTTGAGTTGTATTTCTGTCATAGTTATAAACATAGTTATTTACTGCTAACTAACTGACTAACTAACTAACCAACCAAACAACTGTCTAACCAACATACTAACTAACTAACTAACTAACTGACTAACTGACTAGCTAACTAACCATTTTACAAACTGACTGACTAACTAACTAACTAACTAACCAACTAACTAACTTACAAACCCAAATAACTAACTAACTGACTAACTGACCAACCAAACAACTGTCTAACCAACATACTAACTAACTAACCAACTAACTTATAAACCCAAATAACTAACTAACTAACTAACTAACTAACCAACTAACTTATAAACCCAAATAACTAACTAACTAACTAACTAACTAACTAACTAACTAACTAACCAACTTTTCAACCAAACTAACCAACCTGTTTTTATATTGTTTTAAATGTATTTTAATGTCATTTCATCACGTGTTTTATATTAGCCTTCTATTCAGGCATCAGATGCTACAACAGCTTTGAATGTCTGAATGACTTTCCATGTTAACTTATCTAATATGTTGATGTTTTACAGACATAGAGCCTCACAGCTATTTAAGCACTCCGTTTCAATATTTCTGTGTATGTATATATTTTGAAATCTACATATACTGTAAATATATATCAGTGTGCTGTGATCAAGCAGAGTGAATAGTGTGATGACTCTGAAGGCTGTTTGCTCCGCCTCGACAGCTTCCTCCATCATCTGAACCGGTGAACTGTCTCCCTCCATCAGCACGACAAAAAAACTGGCAGCATGTTTCAGTCCAAAAAAACACTGCATGCATAAAACTGATGCTTTGCTAATGAGAGATCTGGAGCAGGATTCCTACGCACTATGCTGAAAATAGAAGGAATTGTTTTGATGCAGCGAGGCGGCAGTGTGTGTGTGTGTGTGTGTGTGTGTGTGTGTGTGTGTGTGTGTGTGTGTGTGTGTGTGTGTGTGTGTGTGTGTGTGTGTATGTGTGTGTGTGTGGCTGGCAGGTGACTCTGCAGGGTTCACCGTCTGTCTCAGAGCTCAGGTGTTTCCTGTAGGAATCAGACGGTGCACGGCTTCAATTCTCCATCTCACTCTCAGTCTGAAAACCTGACAATTCAATTTGTTCCTGATGAAGGGGCTTTTATAAACCTTAGAGAAGTGTTGATGGACGAGTGTGAGCACAGGGACTGGACTGTGTTTCTGACAAGAAGTCTCTTAGGTCGCATTCACACCTAATAGTCCGTTTTCTGGTGCACACCAGACGACAGTTTGTTACATTGTTTCATTTTTCAGAAGGTTCGGTTTGCGTTCACACGGGCAAAACTCAAACGGACTATACAGTTTAAACACAAGTCATGTGCACGGAAATGCTGTTCAACCATTGGTCAGACATTAAGGGGGTAAAAACGCAAATCCCGGCAATTTCTACCGGAGCCTCCGCCATGGAGCATCGGCACTTTCGGCAGGTTATTCTCATGCTGCTGTTAATCTGGAGATCAACAGACACTAGCGGCCCGCGCATATGATTATATAATCAGACAACGTCCGTTAAAAAACATTATAACATAATGAGAGACGTTCTGCAGTAAGGAGGGGGTTTCACCGACGACAGGTGTTCTTACTTTTATGTAGCTGACGGAGAATTTTTACTTTACACGACACTGTTCAACACTTAATTCTGCTTCACTCTTTAACTAAACAACCGCGGATGTCTTGAAAGACTCTTTCGCTGAAGATTTGGAAGACATCCGCATTCTTGTGACTCGTAAATACTACGCTTCCTATGTTTTGGTGCGGACTGCGTTCACACCAGCGATTAACCACTCCAGAGTTCACTAGCAAGCGTTCCGAGACCACCTCTTTTAGCGGACCAGCGTCCTGTTGTTTAGTTCACTTCGGAGGTCTCGGACTGCGTTCACACCGACCCAAACGAACTGCACCAAGCGGGTAAACGCACCAGGGTTCGATTCAACCGGACTTTACAAGGCTGGTGTGAATGCGACCTTATTTTAGTAATGACAGCTAAACTTTCTTTTCAGAAGGTAGGAAGACCCGATGTAAGACCTTGTTCAACAATATTTAGTAGGGCAAACATCATTTGATTATGAAAATCTTCTTTGAGTTTGAGGTGTTTTGTTTATTTACAGAATCAGGGACTTTTTGCACTTAGGTTTTAATGTTTGATTTCTAAAGTTGTACAGTTTATTATTTCTTAAGATTTATTATTTCTTAAGATGAAGTAAAAACTACTGACATACAAATACATTATATATTTTAAAGTGTTTTTTCTTTTTATTCTGTGGATTCTAATATCAGTTTGCTTGTTTTTTCATTTGGTTGTTAATCTAGTAGTAGTTAAACAAATAAATAAACTTCAGATGAACATTTGGCATTACATTTGGCTTTTAATATACGAGATGAACAACGACTCTGAGTAGAAAACTAAAACCCATAAATCATCTCCGTTTAGTGAAAAAAACTATTTGCAGCAGAACTTGTCGGATGTTTTTTATATTCCTCTAATCTAAAACTGACCCTTAACCCTTCAGTCATCATTTACCTGAATATATTTCTAAAACCAGCTTTATTACAGTTCTGAGACGCTCACCTAAAATGGCCACCACCTCTTCGTCCTGGATGACCTCCAGCGACCCCGACACCACGAAGCAGAGTGTGTCCACGCTCTCTCCGGCGTGGAAGATGAGGTCTCCGGGCGCGCTGTGCACCGTCTGGAACTCCATGGCGAGCGCCCGCAGGCAGCCGTCGCTCGCCAGCCTGAACGCCGGGTGCTCCTTGAACACCTTCCTGTTGAGGTGGACACAGATGTCCGCACGCATGTCTTTGGGACAAATCTGCAGCACCTACAGAGGTCAAAGTGAGGTCACAATAAGGTCACAATGAGGTCACAATAAGTTCATATTGAGGTCAAATATTTACTTCAAGGGAATTTCATTAGGATCATTGTTGATGTTTTATCTTGTTCTGTATTTATTTTAATATTGTTGTTGTGTTTTCTGTAAAGCACGTTGGACTGTTTTGTGCATGAAAGGTGCTATACAAATAAAGTGTATTATTATTATTATTATTATTATTATTAAAGTTGTTAAGTAATGTTGAGCTGACTCCTATCTATTAAAATATATAAATTACAATTTTCAAACAGTAGATACATATATTTTATAAAATACTGTCTTTTTTATGTTATGAATCATCCAAGAATGTCAATGCTGTAAGGGAATATTTCTGTCTTACTCCTAAATGTCAAAGAATAATTCTTCCTTACTCCTAAGATATTTAACCTTATTCTGTGTGTAGACATTTTACTCCCATAAGGAATGTGTTAATGCAGTCGTATGTTGATACTAGGTTTTATGGCCTAACCTGGTGGGCACAGGGGGGGGTTTTACGACTGTGAGAACGCTGGCTTTCTAAGCTCCACAGATGTGAGAGACATCTCCTGTGTCTGCAGATGTTTACGCCCATCCCCAATATGTGGATTTGACTTGTAAACTAGTTAAAAGGTCTATCGAGAGAGAGGCTGATCAGAATTGACATGACAACCCACCCGTGCAGTCAGAACCTTTTGCTGCTGTGACTTGATATGAATTCTCCAGCCGTTGACTTGTAATAAACATCATTGTTTGACATCAAAGCTCCAACTCTCCTCGTGTCTCTCTGAGTCCTGACTCTCCATTGCTGCAGAAGTTTCCCTTACAAATGCAAGGTCACACCAGGCAGATAGTGAAAGCTGTGAACTCCATATTCATCTTCAGGTGGCGTCATGGATTTGAGTGTGTGGAAATGTGATATATGTTTTTGGGCAGCCTAAGTTTCAGTTAAATACACAGACCCAGGGATATTTGAGCCGAAGTGATTGTGGCATGCAGCGTAAACACTTCTCTGTGCACTTTTTGTATTGTCGTAGTCATTTCTCTAACACTTATACTAACTGAGGTCAGACTGAGGTCACAGTAAGGCCACCTTCAGAGGTCCAGAAAAAGAGCCCGATTAATGCAATTAGAAAAATATTTAGAAATCTTCAAGTTTACAAGTTGCAAGATAAGATAAGATAAGATAGAACTTTATTGATCCCAACTTGGGAAATGTTTGTGTTGCAGCAGCATAACAAGACATGGTATTGTACAATACAAATTAAAAGACAATAAATAAACAAGAAAGTAGAAAATATACATGTTGAAGTTACAAATGAACAATAACAAGATATAAAGCAAGGTGTTATATTTGTATGTGACAGATGGAATATTAAATATTAGACTGAATATATAAATGTAAAATGTACAGTGAAGAGAAAAGAGAAAAACTATGGAGCTTAGTGATATTTCCAGAAATAGCAGAGCCAATTAAATGTTGTTGGTCGTTAATATATTGTAATTTAGACTTTTTTTCTCAATATCATAAAATGTCTGAGGATATTCCCAACAGCCTCTTTTCTTTCCTCTTATTATGCCCCTGCGTTTCCAGCATTATGTTAAAAGTGCTTACTAGCTTTCTAAATTGTTAACATTAGTGACTTCTAGGTGCTGAAAGTAACATTAATTATACCAGTGTGTGTCACTCCGTAACCATTACTTACACTTTCACTTGAAAAGCTGCACAAAGTCTCTCCGTCCTATCATTTCATGTTTAAAGTCTGAAGTAAATGATCCAATAAAGACCAAAACAAAGCTAACCAATCACAGTGCAGCATGCTTTATCTTGCATGCAGGTGATTGGGCGTTACCTTTTCGGTGTCGATGCCTCTGCTCATGGACCATGTGGACACGATGTAGTCCATCACCCTCTCGCTGAGGCCTTTAGGGACCTGGTAGAGTTTCAGGAAGTCTCGCACACTGTTCAGCATCTCGTGGTAACGGTTGGTGTTGGCGTACATCTGCTGGAAGATGGTGGTGACGTTACCGAAGATGGTGGCGTAGAGCAACGCTGTGAACAAAGACAAAGAACATTTAGATTATTGTTTTATCGACAAAACACGGCAAATAAATATAGTAAGCTATTCTTTTAAATATACATCACAAGGTCATCCCACTGGCATGATATTAAAGTGGACCTATCATGCTATTTGTAGGCAATAGCATAGGTCTCAGATATATAAAAATATATAAAAAACATGTCTATGAAGTGTTTTGCGCAAAATACCAAACAGATCACCCATTCTAGCCATGCCTCATATCCCTCTATTTCACTTCCTGTTTCAAAAGTGCTGATTTTGGGAATAAAGCTTTAAAAAAAGTTGATAAAAAAGGAGGGGTCTGAGCTCATGCGGGACCGGCAGCTACTGTCTAAACTAAATGCTGCCGTGATGAAACGCCATATCATGGATTATCAAGGATTATCTCTGAAACAGTTTGGAGCTCAAAGGCTTTCTCTCTTGCCGGTTATACCACAAGGTGAGTTCCTTTTTATTTCCTGCTTCTTCACACACATGCTCTCCAGTACAGGTTAGCTCTGAGTGTTAGCGATGCTAATGTAAACACCGACCATATTACGTCCAAAACAGTCGTGCATTGTTTATGATAGCTACTTTCTGATAGGGCCGTGGGTCCACATTTCAGATATTACGTCATATCGGACGCAAATCTGGTTCAGCTCCTTTGTAGCTCCGTTTTTAGAGATTTGGGTACGGAGGAAAAGAGAGAGGGTTTTATTTTCTGAAGCTGCGTGAGTTCCCCGACACACCGGGGACACATCTTTATGTATAAAAGACATCAAAAAGTGCATTTTGCATGATAGGTCCCCTTTAATGTGTAATATGTGTATTTATATATTTTGTCAAACCCAAAAATGTTGTTTTGTGCATTAAATAATTTGTAAGGTCTGGAGTTTTTTTCAAAATAAAGTGTCGTTTTATGATTTTCAAGACTCAAGACATTCATTAGGATTTGTTATGCTCAGTTAAGGTTTGCTTTGCTTTAAAATAAACTCATGTTGGCAAAGTGCTTTCCTCTTTGAAGAATTATATTTTTGACTCCTTTTCTTTTTTTTAACCTGTCAGCGGCTACAGAAGCAGCAGCTGCTCTTTACAAGTTTCACATCAATTCAACTAAAACTCGCTTCCTGATGAAAGCTTTGAAACTAGGAAGTGTATTTGTGCTTCTGTGGTTCATAGGAGCCTGAACATGTTTCATATGTTGCTCTGCATCAGAAGTTACATTTGTCAGTCCCTCATCTGTACATTTCAAAGCTTTAGCTTTCTGTGGACACAGTGTTTGTGGTACGAATATGGTTAGAAAACAACATGTTGTGCTTTTGTAAACCAACAACAAAGCACCACTGGAAGTCAACATCAAGAACATTTTCTGAACACATACTCACAAATCACTAAAATAAGTTAAAACCAAAGAAATGACAAACTTCCATTTAAAAAATATTAATATACAACTAAACAACAATATTTTGTAACAAATGCAGAGTCGCCTGAATTGAGGTTTTGTCATACAACACACATAACATATCAGCAAGAGTTTATAAATTATATATTTGTTGCACTCCTTTAGGATCAGGTTCATTCCATTTTGGTCGTATGGGGGTGTTACTGTATGTGTTTAAGTGGTTTCTCCCAATACAGCTTATTTTGGTTTAATATCAGATTGTTAATAACCATAAAGATGCATGTTTGAAATGTAAATACCAGCAAACTAACCTTAACCTATTGTCTTTTAATGTTCTTGGTGTAAACAACAAAAACACCAGAACAATGCTACTACCCATGCAGCATGAAAGGGCTTTAAAGTTAAAAAGCTGTGACAAATGGAGCTTTAAAGTTAAAATGCTTTGATCATTTCAAAGACATTTACTGCCTGCCTGTCTTGTTTTTCACTTTTCTTAGTACTCCTCGTGCAACAATGATCAGAGTTTGTGTAAACTAAAAATAGATCGTTTTTTGGACGAAACAAAGATTTCTCAAGGGGCCCTTTAAGCTTTTTGTAATCCAACACATTCTACGTGATAGGGGCAGGACATCTCTAAGCGGTTGACCAATCACAACAGAGTCGGCCAGCTAACCAATCAGAGCAGACTGGGCTCTGGTTTCAGACAGAGGGTGAAAAGAGGTGCTGCAGTGGAGGCAACACATACTGATATGAACCTGGAAATGAGAATAATAGGGCCCCTTTAAATAGCAGTGGCAAATGGAGCTTTATAGTTGAAATGCTCCCAAAACTTTGATTGGTTAAAGATATTTACTGCCCGTCTTTGATTTCCATCTTGGAACAACGTTCACCAAATATTAAAAATGTTGTGGATGAAACCAAATATTTTCCTGTTCCTCAAGTCATCGGTTACTCCCTCTCAGAGTGAGAGCTGACATCACTGTGCAGAGGTGTCTCTGTGTCTATCGACGGATCACCAGCAGTTATTGTCTCGGCTCATCAATACAAACTGCAGTTCCTCCCTGACTCAGCTACCCCCCCTCAGACCTGTCAGCATAAAGACCACCGGATCGATATCGACCCCGTCATCCAGCAGCAGCAGAAACTATCATCCAGCGTGAAGACACTGACAGCAGCTCAGACTGAAGTGTCAGAATCCCTCAATATCACTAAAGTTAAAGTGTAGAGTATTAACAGTGTGGCGCCGAGCAAACGCTGAGACAGCAACAGCCGGTCCAGAACCAGAGCCAGGTCCGGAGGCTCCCCGCTGAGTTTGTTTTTATCTTACAGGATAAAAAATTAGGGAAGATTTCACAGCTGCATGATTTTATATTCGCAAACAAAGTCGTTTCAACACCTCCTACGACATCACAGATCCTCCTCACGTCGACAAACTGTGTTTCTACCAATCTAATAGAGGGGTATCATCTACAAACTTTAGCAAAACTGTTATTGAATATGTGTTGGGATCTATAACCTTTCAAAAACAGTAATTCGAACACAAATAAAGATCCTCCTCACGTTGTAGATGCAAACAACGCTTTTACTGACCTTTTAGAAAGGTATCAGGTACAAACAAGCAACCAGCACACACTCTTATAATAACAGTAAAAAATGGCAGCCAATTGTAAAAAATATACTATCAAATACACTTAAAAAATTCAAATCATTGAATATGTGCTGGGATCCATAACCATTCACAAACATGAATAAAGATCCTCACATCTTACCAACCTATTAGAGAAGTATCATGTACAAACTCTACGAGTAAAAGTTAAAATAACAAAACAAATAATAACAAAAACAAACTATTATATTGCTTTTCTTGAACTAATCTTTTCATAAATCATTTCCTCATTTGATTGATTTTTTTTTATCCATAATCTTTAACAAGCAGTTGTTCGAACACACAAATACCAGCTCACATCCTCAAACAGTGCTTTTACTGACATTTTTAGAAGATCAGGTACAAAAACAAAACCTTGGTTCTCTAAAAATCGCAGATGGCAAGCACAAAGTCAGTACAACCATAACGCCACAACAACCACATTTACAGAAACAACTAAATCAGTCATTCTGTGAGTTGTTGGGTTAGAGGAAACTTTATAAAAGTTCAATATACGCAGACTGCAGGTAAAATGGACTGTATTGATATAGCGTTTATTCAGTCTTTACGACCCCTCAAAGCGCTCATCATTCAGCCATTCAGACCTCATTCATTCAGAGCAACGCCATTTAATCGAATGTTAAATTAAAGGTGGGGTATGTAATTTATTTCAGAAGCACTTTTTGTTATATTCCATGGAATGCTCTTAACATCCCGATAGCAATGAATATATTAAATGCTTTGACAAGAAATACATAAAAAAATTCATCTGTGGAAGGCGTGGCGCTGTAAAAAGCACGACCAATCATTTTCACCGGTCCGGCTAAAGTAACTGGATGGTCTACCTGCCTGTCAGCCTTCCATCTGTGCACAAACTTATCTCGTGCCCTCATTGGTCATGTGCGCGTTCGTGTGTGTTGGAGGAGGGGCTCTGTGAGGAAGTGGGAGATTTTTTCCGGTTGTGAATTTTCAAATGATCATGCACTCGAGCTGGTTTCTTCAAAATGACCTACCGCACCTTTAAGTAAGTTAACATTCACACACATTCTCATATCTTGCCCAAGGATACATCGACATGTTAACAGCACAGGGCTGGGATCGAACCCACAACCTTTCATTGAGAGAAGGCCGCACTACCTCGTCCCTTTGACTACTAATGTTACGTACTTCATGTACATTTGGCAAATGTGTGGTATAACAATGAATCTTTTTCTTATTTCTTAGTTTGAAAAGCATTGTAGGTTTGTCCCGGCCAATTACTGTAGTAAGGAAATCAGCTGTTCAGATGCCCACAGTTATTTGGGTACCACTTTACAATAAGACTACCCTTAAAGGATTCATAAAGGGTTTCAAAATAGGTTATGAATTAGGTTGTAAACACTTTATTAATCACTAAGAACCATTTATAAACCAGTTCTAACATAGTTTTCATACATCAACACAGGCTCACTATTTGGCAAGATGACTTAAGCCTCATAGTGGCTACTTAGCGAGAATCAACTCGGTGAACAACAGATACCAAGGATGCTGGCTGACGAAGGAGACGAAGTAAGTTAGGTAGCCAATATAAGGCTTAGCAGGACAGATAAATGTGGGCTCACTATTTGGCAAGCAACCGGTCACAGTCGCCCTGTTTATCTCATGTCTTATAAAAGCTTATTAATGATTTATAAAGTGTTCACAACCTAATTAATAAATGAATTACAAACTATTCGTAAACCCTTTATAAGGGTAGTCTTATTGGAAAGTGGTACCGTTATTTCTTACTGTTTATCATCCATTTTTTATATAAATCACCTTTAATGTCATGTTATTATTCTTAAATTGCATTGTTAGGACTATAAGAGGTATTATCAGCAACTGGAGGCGTGTCTCCTTCAGCAGTATGACTAATTCATGTTTAAAAACAACAATCTGTATCGGTGTTTTACACCAAAAAAACAACG